AGTCATTTACCGTATTTTTCCGCTCCATAAGACGCACTTTTTTCCCCCCAAAAAAGGGGGGAAAATGTCAGTGCGTCTTATGGAGCGAATGTAAAGCGGCTGGTCCGGTATTTCTGCCGCCACCATGTCAGAATATCGGGCCGGCCCCTTAGCTCTTCTCTCCTGCAGGACCTTACCTGTTCCTCTCTCCAGCGCTGCAGTCTTCCCGCGGCAGCTTCTGTGACAGCCGGGTGCCCACTGCGCAGAAGGCTCCGGGCCATTCACAAAGCGCAGCGCTTCTCGCGCATGCGCAGTGGGCACCCGGCTGTCACAGAAGCCACCGCGGGAAGAAGAGGGAAGGACAACTCCACGGAAGTGGGAGCGGGTACCCGTCAAATTAAGGTACCCGTTCCCCCTCCCTCCCCAAAGGTCCGCAGTCTCTGGTAATCTCCTTTACTGTCTGCAGTCTCTGGTCATCCCTTGCACTGTCTGCAGTCTCTGGTCTTCTGTACTGTGTCCGCAGTCTCTGGTCATTTCCTGTACTATGTCCGCAGTCTCTGGTCATTGCCTGTACTGTGTCCGCAGTCTCTGGTCATCTCCTGTACTGTGTCCGCAGTCTCTGGTCATCTCCTGTACTGTGTCCGCAGTCTCTGGTCATCTCCTGTACTGTGTCCGCAGTCTCTGGTCATTACCTGTACTGTGTCCGCAGTCTCTGGCCATCTCCTGTACTGTGTCCGCAGTCTCTGGTCATCTCCTGTACTGTGTCCGCAGTCTCTGGTCATGTCCTGTACTATGTCCGCAGTCTCTGGTCATCTCCTGTACTGTGTCCGCAGTCTCTGGTCATCTCCTGTACTATGTCTGCAGTCTCTGGTCATCTCCTGTACTATGTCCGCAGTCTCTGGTCATCCCCTGTCCTGTGTCCGCAGTCTCTGGTTATCTCCTGTACTATGTTCGCAGTCCCTGGTCATTTCCTGTACTGTGTCCGCAGTCTCTGGTCATGTCCTGTACTATGTCCGCAGTCTCTGGTCATCTCCTGTACTGTGTCCGCAGTCTCTGGTCATCTCCTGTACTATGTCCGCAGTCTCTGGTCATCCCCTGTCCTGTGTCCGCAGTCTCTGGTTATCTCCTGTACTATGTCCGCAGTCCCTGGTCATTTCCTGTACTGTGTCCGCAGTCTCTGGTCATCCCCTGTACTGTGTCCGCAGTCTCTGGTCACCTTCTGTACTATGTCCGCAGTCTCTGGTCATCTCCTGTAGTATGTCTGCAGTTTCTGGTCATCCCCTGTATTGTGTCTGCAGTCCATTGGTTCAGAATATTTTTTTTCTTGTTTTTCTCCTCTAAAACCTAGGCGCGTCTTATGGTCAGGTGCGTCTTATGGAGCGAAAAATACGGTAAGTCTTTTCAGCGCTGCACCTATCTGTTTGAATTTACAGTGAGACAAGTCACCCACTTGTCTGCTACTACCTGCATATATGTTGAAGTACCATATCTACACTCTACTGTGAGAGTACCAGAAATATTATAGTATACAGTTGCAAGAAAAAGTATGTGAACCCCTTGGGATTACGTAGAGTTTTGCATGAATTGGGCATAAAATGTGCTCTGAACGTCATCTAAGTCACAACAATGTCAGGGCAGGGGCCGAGGAACGGACAGGCAGGCCTAACAATGTAAGGCACTGGCTGACGACAACCACTACCCACAGACCGAAGTCCCTCAGGGCGCGGAGTCTAAGTCCCAGGCTGCCCTTCACCAGGGCCCCTGATGGTGGGGATGGACTTGACGCAGCCAGGAACCAGGTCGCGGCCCCCGAGACACCTCAGCTGCGGTAATGGCCGCCGCCAATGGCGTGTAGCTGGTGGAAGAGACAAAAGAGTAGTCAGACAAGCCGGGTCAACAACAACAGGACAAAACAGTACAGGACAGCAGACGAGAATCACAGGTCACGAGCCGGGTTCAGCAACAGAGGGTCAGATCAAGGGAGAATACAAAGAATAGTCAAGTCACAAGCCGAATCAGATACCAGGAGAGTCACGAGAGTCAGAACAGAGTAATAGCAACACAAAGACACAAGACACAAGTGCAAAGAGCATGTGCGGGCCACAGGCTTATATGTCATCAGCCACACCCCTCTGGGGGATGGACCACAGAGACCTGAAGGCATAAAAGGATTCCCATCATGCACAGCAGAATCCAAGATGGACGCCAGCACATGGAGTAACATAACCTCAGGGAAAAGGTAGGACCTTGACAAACAATAGAAGAACACAGTCTGCTGAACATAATACTACACAAACATTAGATGTTGCCATGGTTTAATTGCGCATAACATGTAAACATTCACAGTGCAGGGAGGAAAAAGTATGTGAGGCCCTAGCTTAATGACTTCTCCCAGAGCTAATTGGAGCCAGGAGTGAGCCAACCTTGACTCCAATCAGTGTGATGATATTGGATGTGTTGCTGACAGCTATCCTGCCCTTAAAAAACACACACCTGTTTTGGGTTTACTGGTTTCAAGAAGCACTGTCTGATGTGAACCATGCCTCACAGAAAAGATCTCTCAGAAGACCTACGATCAAGAATTGTTGACTTGCATGAAGCTGGAAAGGGTTACAAAAGTATCTCCAAAAGCCTTGATGTTCATGTGTTCACGGTAAGACAGACTGTCTACAAATGGAGAAAGTTTAGCACTGTTGCTACTCTCCCTAGGCATGGTCGTCCTGTAAAAAATGACAGCAAGAGCACAGCGCAGAATGCTGCATGAGGTAAAGAAGAATCCCAGAGTGTCAGCTAAAGACCTACAGAAATCTCTGGCACATGCTAACATTTTTGTTGACACATCTACAATAAGGAAAACATTAAACAAGAATGGAGTACATGGGAGGACACCACGGAGGAAGCCATTGCTGTCCAAAAAGAATATTGCAGCACGTTTGAAGTTTGCAAAAGAGCACCTGAATGTTCCACAGCACTGCTGGCAAAATATACTGTGGACAGATGAAACCAAGATTGAGTTGTTTGGGAAGAACACACAACACTATGTGTGGAGAAAAAAAGGCACAGCACACCAACATCAAAACCTCATCCCCACTGTAAAACATGGCGGAGGGAGCATCATGGTTTGGGGCTGCTTTGCCGCCTCAGGGCCTGGACGGATTGTTGTCATTGATGGGAAAATGAATTCCAGAGTTTATCAAGACATTTTGCAGGAAAACGTACGACCGTCTGTCCGCCAACTGAAGCTCCGCAGAGGATGGGTGATGCAACAGGACAATGACCCAAAGAATACAAGTAATTCAACAAAACAATGGCTGCAACAGCACAGAATACGCCTTCTGGAGTGGTCCACTCAGAGTCCTGACCTCAACCCGATTGAAATGCTGTGGCATGACCTTAAGAGAGCGATTCACACCAGACATCCCAAGAATATTGCTACACTGAAACAGTTTTGTGAAGAGGAGTGGTCCAAAATTACTCCAGATCGTTGTGCAGGTCTGATCTGCAACTACAGGAAACGTTTGGTTGAGGTTATTGCTGCCAAAGGAGGGTCAACCAGTTATTAAGTCCAAAGTTTCACATACTTTTTCCTCCCTGCACTGTGAATGTTTACATGTTGTGCGCAATTAAACCATGGCAACATCTAATGTTTGTGTAGTATTATGTTCAGCAGACTGTGCCCAATTCATGCAAAACTCCATGTAATCCCAAGGGGTTAGCATACTTTTTCTTGCAACTATATATAACACGTGGCAGTCTCTTCACATTCACTCTACCCTTGACACAATAGCACTTTTATCTTTTGCTTAAGTTAATATATGAAAACATTATTTGTACTGTACAGATTACATCCTGTTCGTTACCTCTAAGGGTTGCACCCCTTCTGACTTACGGTTGTTGATTTTTTGTCTACTCAGTTCAACTGAGTCCTGCAATCACATTGTAATGAGCTTCTTGTAACACGATTATCTTTTCCAATAATCAAAGAAAACTATTCAAATTACATTCCATGAGACTTTACCCACTTTCACCAAATCTTAGTCTACAGACCTGGGACGCGAGATCTCTCCCGAGGATTGGCAGACTGTAATTATGTCTACTCACAAATCCTCTCTATCATGTAATGCACAAGAAAAAAAATTACAAACTACTTTCGAGGTGGTACAGGGACCTGGTGTTGTCACTCTGCATATTCCCTTTAGTTCCTGAAAAGTATTGGCGGTGTAATTGTTTACTGCAACATTTTAATTCCATGAAATCCATTCTATAGAAATCCATGTCCATCCCCTCAGTGGGTAAATAGTGTCAACGACATAATGCAGATGGAGGAGCTTGGAGCACTGGATTCCAATAAATGAGATAAATTTACAATTTAGTGGCTTTTGTGGATTTGCTATTCTTATCAAATGCCTTAGAGAAGCTAACCTCAGCATGATCCCAATAGAGCACCTTTGTTTTCCTATTACCTTCTCATTATATAAACCTCTGCAGTTGGTTCAAGACACTACCCTCATGTCTCTGTCTCCACCTAGAATCTTTTGAATTCCTGTACACAATGCTCAAGAGTCCCCAGATCCAGAACTAACTTCTTATCTTCATAACAAAACAAAAATACCACTTTCCTCTTATTTTTTTTCTTTTATCCCCCTATGCCATTGATGGTATTTTACAACACCCCAGGTCTCACTCGTTCATATATCTCATCTGTTATTTAGATTTTACCTACAACACTGCCATCTTAGACCCTGTTAGTATATTATGTCTGTATCAATAACCGTAAAATAAAATACCTAAGGTTTTGATGTAAACTGTCACCTGACTCCCACTGCTTTTTTTTACATAGTTAATCTGGTTTGGGGATTTAGGCACCATCCAATTGCCGTTTGACCCTACCATACCAGCATAGGTGGTGTTCAAAAAAGTTTTTTTTTTTTTAAATGGTCTCCCTGGTTGTCCCCTTCGTCGTTGACCTCACCCACTACTAGCTATAATAAATAGTCGCATTAATACATTTTTTACTTATTCTTTTTCAACTTCTTTTTAATCTTGTTTTCCACTACAGCTGTATAAGAAATGGTGTTTACGTGATTGCTTACATATTATACAGTTGTGCTCAAACATTTACATAGCCTGGCAGAAATTTTGACATTGAAAATAAAACTGGTCATGTAAAAAAAACTGTTTTTTATTTAAGAATAGTGATCACATGAAAACTGGAGCACATAGAATCTGGTGCAGCAGTGCATATCAGCTCCTAACTTCAGCTTGCTCAATTAAGCTTTGCTAATTAAACCTGGAAGCGGATTGGTTTCTATGCAGAGCTGCACCAGAATCTGTGTGCTCCAGTTTTAGTAAATTTCCCTCATTGTGTCTTGTAGGTGTTATGAATAACTGTTTGGCAGTCTTTTATACCAAGTTCATGACATTATTTCCTAAATGCACATAAAACTAATATTTATGGGTAAAGTTGATACAAGGAATATCCTGGAGCAAATTGCTGGGGTTCTTGGCTTTCCTCTGGATTAACTGTGGATAAAGGATTGTGTATATAGGATTGTATGTACAGTATGTATGTAAAGACAAATGGATTGCTGCACATCAAAGAACTTTTAATGTAAAAAAAAAAATCACCATACAAAACAGTGATGAAAAATGGACAAAGCCATTGTTCAACAAACAGTTTGGGGCTATTATGTTAACGCCCTTCTTCAGATCAGAACACATGTTAAAGTGAGAAATACCACTATGATCAATTTATACAAACATCATAATTGGAATCAATCATATAATGAACGACAAACTGAATACAAATCAGATAAGCATCTTCTAAAAAATGTGGCTATTTCTGAGAAAACATTCTGTCAAGAAGAAAT